CTGCAGTCTCTATTAAACTTCTTAGCACACTGTATCAATATTATCTACTGACCATGTATGAACTCTCCAGGAAAGATAGTATGTCTTTAATTCTATATCCTAAGTCTTTAGAGTAGTGTCTGGGTCTTGACACACAGAAGTTTGTTAAATCATGCATCAACTACTAAGTCCTTATTATAACCTTTTATACTTTTCTGCCTTAACTTGAAAGACATACATTTTATGTTTCTGAAAAAAGGGGCAAACTTTTTCTATGGTCCTTATTGAATATAATTTTTCTCAATAATTCTTTAAAAGAATTCTTTTAAATATTAAAATACCAAATTTATTTTGTTTTGAGAGTTGAATTTAATTATCAGTATAACAAATTTGAAAAGGCTAATAACTGTAATGTTCAATTAACTTTCGAGAGCAAATTACTGTTGTAGGATATCAAGCACTTTAGCAAATATAAATACTAACTTTCCACACTGAAAACAACCTCTGTCAGAAAGTAAAAAAATTGCACTTTTATTTTGCTTCATAGAGAACAATGGAGACAAAAGAGAGGTGAAAGGAGAGAATCCTGACATAGGAAATGGTCCGCAAGTGTCTGAAGTGGAAGGTCAGGGAAAATATATGTATAAAAATTATCCCACATCCTGCTGTTTAGCTATTTTACAGATGACTGGGTGTATGTGTAGAAAAAATAATATAATAAATCTTAGTTTACAAGCATATTTACTTAAAAAAGGAATCTATAATTGTCACAACTATGTAAAATTCACAGCTGCTCTCTTCAAAGACAGAGATAGGAATTTCTATTTTAACTTCCATTTCCCCTTTTATTTCAAAGGAAGTTAAGGATCTGCGAATGAATGCATACCTTCACCCCACAGAATAGTATTTAATCATAACACAGCCAAAAAATGTAATAAGCATCACCCTGAGTGGATGTAGTGAAGTACCAAAAAAAAAATTTCCAAAAGTAATTTTCTCACTTAGAGCCAAAAGCTTTTTCCATTCAACAAGTTAAAAGAAGTAGTAACAAATAAATAAGCTCACAGCCTCTTTGAACATAACATCAGATATATTAAAGAATGAGGTGTTAAGAATAGAAGGTAATAAATAAGTAAAGCAAATTAGATATGCTCAGAACTTTTATATTTTTTTTTTTTTTTTTTTTTTTTTTTTTAATAAGGCATGTTTTATTTATTTATTATTTGTTGTTTGTTTGGTTTATACATGCACTGGGACAGTCAGAAGCGCGGGAGGGTGAAGAGCTCACCAGAGCCAGAGCGGGGAGCAGAGCAGCAGAAACCGAAGCACACTGCTGAGGGAGCAGCGGGCAGCAGGAGAGGTCTGCGCCCATGTGGGACCCTCCTCGTGCCGGGAGCAACTGGGATCGAACGGCAATGCAAAGGCTGCGGGCAGCTTCGCAACCCAGCGCCACAACCGCTGCGCCACCGGGGGAGGCCCTTTTCTATCTTTTTTAAGGGAAATTTTCCCAGAGACTAGCAAGTTGTTTTCTTTTTTCTTTCTTTCTTTTTTTTAAGATTTATTTATTTATTTATACAAGCACTAGAAGCGCAGGAGTGAGAGAATTCACCAGAGCTAGAGCAAGGAACAGAACAGGCAGGCTGACGAAGAAATACACTGCTGAGGGGAGCAGCGGGCGCGACAGGAGAGGTCTGTGGCGCCATGTGGACCCTTGCCAGTGGCGGGGATTGAACCGGCTCTGCAGAGGCTGCGGACAGCTTCGCAGCCCAGTGCTCAACTGCTGTGCCACCAGAGGAGGCCTACTAGCAAGTTGTTTTCTACAGGTAATATAAAGATACATTTAATAATCTCCTATAATTGGCTTAATACAATTTGAAAATGCACTTGGATTAGAATTAAATTATTTTATATATTTTACAGCAAATAAAACTGAGTATTTGATAAAGGCTAGGAATTACATTTATCTGTGAAGTTGTACCATAATATATATATAAACTGTTACAAGTATTTCAGGAACTTTCCAAACTTGGATAAAGTTCAACTTTTAAGTAAAATCTTCTGTAATAGCAAGCTGTTGTAACTAAATTTCCAGTTTTCACTAAAAGAGTAAACATTCTATTTCAAATTCAACTATAAGTAAAGAATTTCCAGTTCTATATATGAATAAGATTTTAAAAAATTACTTACAGTAAATATCCGTCTGCCAGTTCGATCAAAAGTTACAGTACACAGATGACAAGTGTCCAAGAATTCGTTTATGCATTTTCATGTGCTGATACACAGCAGTTGGAACAAGTTTCTCTAGCCTGTATTTCCCATTCAGCTTCCTTGAAAATAACGTATCCGCTACAAAGAAAAGGGGGTGGGGGAATCAGTAAAATTCAGAAGTTAATTTTCTTAATTATCACCTTTACAGCATTCACATTTTTAATAATGCCAACTTCTCATAAGTTGGTTAAAGATAAATATGTTCTCTAGGGGCCTGCCCGGTGCCCAACAGGTTGAGCACAGCTGTGAAGCTGTCTGCAGCCTCTGCAGCACAGGTTCGATCTCAGCAGGCCTACCACGTGGCCCGGCAGACCCCTCCTGTCTCGCTGGCTGCTCCCTTCAGCAGTGCTTTCGGTCTGTCTGCTGTTTTGCTCCCCACTGTCTCTCTGGTGAATCCTCTCACCCTCCTGTGCCTGGCCTGTACCCCAGCTATGTATAAATAAAAAAAATCTTAAAAAAAAAAAAGCAGCTAAACAGTCAGATAAAGACAAGATAACTAAAGAAAAAAAGGATGTTCTCTCAACAGATTCTTGTTAAAAGTTAAAAGTCTTCAAAATAGTTAACAAAACACATTATTTCATTTGAGATAAATTAAGCAATGTTACCCTCATCCTACAAAAAGCAATTCAGCTAAATGACCTGCCAAGATGTCACAAGTAAAGCAAAAAGTAAGAATTAAAATTCGAGTTCGTTATTCCTTGGCGAATGCTTTTTAAAAAACAAAATCATTTTATGTGATTTTACCTACTTAAAAAATTCTGGTTTTTTTTTTTCAAAATCAGTTAAAATTGGATGTAGTGATTTTATTTTTTGCCAGCCAGCAATTCTTGAACCACTCTAAATTTGACACATCAATGATGTCCAAATGAAGACTGAGGAATAATTCATTGCACTATTCAAAAAAAATAACTGAACTGGGGATTTTGCCAAACATCTGTATTCCTTCTCTAGAACCTATTAGCTATCTTTTTTCAACTTATTCCTTTTAACCATCTTTCAAGATATAACTGAGATTTATCTGTTCTGCCCCAAAGTCTGATGTGCTGACTCCAGCACAAAATTTTGTCTTCCATCTAAATGACTACTGTACTTGTTTTCTATTCTGTAATTATGGACAAAGATTGTGTACTCTGTATGTTGACTGATCTGCAGGCATAATATTCACGTATAAATTACCTTTTAATAAATTTGCGTTTTTTGTGATGGTGACTGCCATCAACATTGAATAGTAAAGCATAAGAGTTTCTCACTTGAATTCAGTCTCAAATACACATACACGCATACACACTCTCTCTCTACTATTTAACCTAGGTTTAGAGCAATTACATGCTAAAGCTAATGATACACAAGTATCTCAGGTGCATCTCAAAGAATTCTCAGCACTTATTTTTGCCCATAAAACAAATGCTTGATTCACTGCATATGTAAGCAAAAATAAAATATATTCTTGGGGATGTAGATATGTAGAAAAATGCAATGCAGGTTCTAAAACAATAATTTCAAGTGAATAATTTATTATGCTTAATTATTCTTTTATTACATCATTTTATATTCTCATAAAGTATATCTCTAGCTGTTAGCTTCTAATTCTATACAGCAAGGAATTTCAACATCTAGAAATATCTAATACAGCTGACAGTTGTGAATTAGCATATTTAGGCTAAAACTGGTTACACACTAACTTAACAGTGACTCAGTAAATTTCTAATAAGCCCTGATGGATTTTTTCCTTATGGCCTGGTAGAAGACATCCTCCAGTGCTTTGGCTCCAAACTGATTTAGAACAAGAAACAAAAAACTCCACAAAATCAAATGTCCTGCCAAATAAGAACTCAAATGCTCTTAGCCAAACACTGACGATCAATGACACCTCAGACTCACCTGTGCATGCTGTAAGAAATATAACACAAATATTGACAGTGTTACCAACAATTTAATTCCCTCTATCCAAATTATAAAAAAAAAAATTGCTGAAGTTATTCCATTAAAAATTTACAGAATTCTCAAAATGTCAAATTTCAGTAAAACATTTAACAGCACTCTGGTATAAAAATATGATGGCTGAAGATAATTATAATATAAAACAAGTCTTTCTCATTGAGAGTGATTTGAAAAAAATATTTCAAGACAACTTTTTAAGGAAGAATTTCCAAAAGCATTAAGTAAATATAGTAAATCTACATTCTACACTATCCTTTGTACCAATTAACTACTGAATATCTATACCAAGATTCTATCCTAAAGAGAAGGTCCTTGGCTTTGAACAGCACTAGAAGATACGGTAAACAGAGAAAACAGTATGTAGAATTCCCAGGTAATAACCTGGTATTTTAAACTTGATTTAGGGAGTTAAGAAGAAAATACTTTTCAATAGTGGAAATTCAATTGAGGAGGGTGTAATGAAAAGGCCTGACCAGATCAAACAGGAAGAAAATTTGAACAAAGAGAGGAAGATGGTCTAGTACTCCTATTCAATAAACTCACATTTTTCTACAATACCATTTATAATGTCTATATCCTTTATCAGACTGTAAGTATATTAGGGACATAAATTCCATCTTATTAATATTTCCCACAAATGCGTATAGTCTTTTAAATAAAAAAGTACATAAATGAATCTTTTAAGATATACAAGATGATCAATTTAATATAATATAGTCACATGACAGAAAGGTAAATGAGTTTATTCACTTTCTAAAGAAACTGTTAATAGACTAACTGGATTTCTGAATAAAAGGGGATTATCTTTTGGATTATAGGGATTCCTAAAAATTTTATTCAACTAGAACATCAATTTTTAAAACAACCATGGCTAAACAGATGTAACAACAGTTCAGAAAGAAAGAAATAGGACATATCAATTTAACCTTAAAACAAGTAGCATATGAGATTTTGGTTGAAAAGCACGTTTATTTTCAGAAGTATAGTGATGGGAAATACTCTTAAAATAAGCCTGACAAAGTAAACGTCTATCCTTTAATTTGGCAAAATTTTTCTTATCCTCGAGTGCCTGTTAAAATGTCACCTCCTCTAAGAAAGCTAGTGAATTTCAAAAGCAACCTAATATGTAGGTTGCTTAAACCTAGGTTGCTCAACTTAAAACTGCAATGATCTTCCTTTCTTGAGGGAAAAAAAAAAAAAAAACAACCATATTCCTTACATCTTAGCCTAGGAAGGCACAGCATAAATCTTGCCTTCCATTTCCTCCCTGATCTTATCTGTTATTTCTTGTCCCCTTTTTTGATCCACTCCATTCACGCTAGTCTCACCCATTTTCTAACACATCAGGCATGTTCCTACTTCAGGGTCTTAATACTGGCTTCTCCCTTTGGCTAGAACACTCATTCTCTCATTGTGTTACTTCTCAGTGAGGCTTAACTTGACCAATCCATTGAAAACTGTAATCCATCCCCTACCATGATTCACTAATTCCTGATTCCCTCTTATGCAGCTCTATATTTATTCTTTTCCTACCACTTATCATGTGATGTTATAAATGTATTTGCTCATTATGGCCACTGTTTGCTTCTGCTCCTCTACCCCCTACAACATAGTAAGCTTCCTATGGGCAGGAATTTTTTAAATCTATTTTGTTATTTGATTAGTCAACACCTAATAGCTGGGCCCAAGTCTTCAATGTTCATGACTTTAGAAAAAAATAAACAAAGTCACCTGAGTTTTTCTCATTATACAAATCTGTACCATTACAACCAGGTTTCATGGAGGAAAACATGAATAGCTAACTACTAGAAGACAAAATAAATATCTCACTCAGTACAACTTGGGCTCTTTTCTGATACAGAAAAAGAGGTACTCTGATGAGAAATAGAGTATTTTACCAGAATGAATTTCTTTTACCATATTTTTTTTTTTTTTAAGATTTACTTATTCATTTATACAAGCACTGGTATAAATGAAGCGCGGGAGGGCGAGAGAATTCACCAGAGCCAGAGCGGGGAGCAGAGCAGGCAGAAGGACCGAAGTACACTGCTGAGGGGAGCAGCGGCAGCAGGAGAGGTCTGCATGCCATGCGGGACCCTCCTCCGGTGGCCAGGGAGCAGCCGGGGATCAAACCAGCGCTGCAGAGGCTGCGGGCAGCCTCGCAACCCAGCGCTCAACCACTGCACCACCGGGGAGGCCCTCTTTTACCATATTTTAACTAATTTGATGTTGTTATTTTAAAGGAAACACTTTGAAAGGTACCAGAATTTCTGTAAGTAAAATGCAAATGTAATTATAAGCTATAATAATTACATAAACAATTATTAAGTGCAAAAGAAAGTAAATTCTGGGTGATTGATTTTAATCTCAAGGTATATGCTAATAAGGGCTGTCTAAATTGAAGATTAATAACTTGTAACTAACTATAAGAGCCTGAAAACCTATAGAATAAAACCACCAAAAAGCAGTGATAAACATAAGCAAGATGATATATAAATTCCAAACAGATTTACCCCCTTAGACAATACCTAGTTTTCACAACAAAGTGACATTATACATTTCATTTGAGAAAAAATTTAATCAGTTTACCAACAAGATCATGCAGTTTTCTTTATGGCATTTTAAAGTTTGTGACAAATGTGAGAATTACAAATAGAAGTCCAATAGTTTGCATGAAGTTTGAAAACACTCTAAGAGAAAATCATTTTGTCACACTGATCTTAAATAATCCTCCAAGTTATAGCAAGAGGTTCAACTGAAAAACAACAACAACAACAAAAATAAATCCTAGGTGTAGTGTGGTATCCTGGAATAAGAAAAGCTAATTAGAGGGAAAATTTGGTGAGATACAAGTTCTGGTGTTTATTACAATTAATAATAATGTACCAACGTATCTGATGCATTTCTCAAATGCACCAGATAACGTAGGATTAAATATTAGGGGAAACTGTGTAGGGAGTATACAGGAGCTCTTTAAATAATCTGTGTAATTTTGGGGTGAATAATTTCTAATTCTAAATAAAAATATATTTTTAAAAAGCCTGTATCTCAAATATGTCAAAATTTGAGTATGTGGATATGAATTAAACATTTAAGTCTATATTTAAGAAAAGCTAAAAGGTTATGGTTTTCTTCTTTCTTAGATTGACATTGGTAATTGACCAAGAAAAGAGCAAAGAAAATCTTTAAAGGCAGTCAGAAAAAAAAGAATCTACAAAAGAAACATGAGATACTACAAACATTCTTATACTTTTTTAATTCTTCTGATCCATACTTAATGATAGCTTGAAAGAATATAATGTATCTCCATACAGGTAAACTACTCTTTCAAATTTCTAGTAACTTTTCTTTTCATTACCCTCCTTGCTATAAACTTGTGAACTGGAGGGTAATGAAAAGAAAAGTTACCAGAATTTTTGAAAGAGTAGTTTACCTGTATGGAGATACACTGTATTCTTTCAAGCTATCATTAAGTATGGATCAGAAGAATTAAAAAAGTATAAGAATGTTTGTAGCAATGAGAAGACATTCAAAACTGTCACCAAGGTGAACTGACACATGACATTAAACCATGACAAAAATAAGTGGAGTCATTTTGATTCACCTAACTTCTCTTTAATTATTTCAAAGAAAGCTATTTTTTTTTTTAAAAAAAAAAAAAAAGCAGGTAAAATTGGCATTCTGGTATAGGTATTTTTTTTTAACATGAAGAACTAATATTTTCCTGAAAATATAAATGGAAGGAAGAAAAAACATATCTTAAACCCTGAAAACAAAATAGTCTTTCAGAAAGGTACAACCTTTTCAGAAAGGTACTTGTTTGGTTATTAATTCTGTTACCTAAATATACTAGTTGCATTTTTCTGTTGTGACACAAAACTCATTGATTATTTTTGCCATATTTATGCTCCCTATATATCCATTTGTCAGCAATATTCACTGATATTACCAACAACCTGGTCTAAAAATCTTACCAAATTTTAAAGTATTCGTTATCCTCATTCAAAAATATACCAATGAGGGGCCTCCCTGGTGGCGCAAGGGGTTAAAACGCAACCTATGAAGTTGTCTGCAGCCACTGCAGCTCGAGTTTGATCCCCGGCCTGCCAGGAAGCAACACACATGGAGCAGCAGACCTCTCCTGACTGGCCTGCTGCCCCGTCGGCCGTGTATTTCAGTCATTCTGACTGTTCTGTTCCCCACTCTGTCTCTGGTGAATCCTCTCACCCCCCCACACCTCTGGCCTGTACTCCAGCTCTTGTATGCATAAATAAATAAATCTTTTTAAAAATATATATATACCAGAGTACAGGCTCCTTGAATAATTTGAAAACTAATAATTATGGAGAATAATACAGCAATGATTTCAGCCTACTTTCACTCCCCTAAATATGTGACCTTGGTCAAGTCATCAGACCTTCCTATGTTTCCAGCTTCTTTTTCGTAAAATAAGAGTAACAGTTCCTACCTCTGGACCACTTAAAGTTTTCAGAGAACATAAGTGGAAAATGCTTAGTGTAGTGCCTGGCACACAATAATCACTCACATAAGTAAGTTTTAAGACGAAAGTAAGTTACTATCAGTCATTCCAAAACTTTCATTGCCTACCACAGGACTGTCTAGACAAAGTGCTGAAAGAGTAACATATTCCCCTTACTATGTAGATTTGAAGTTTTTCAGAGAAGATACTTTATCTATAGGGGAAGCTCCTATAATAGTTTATCTGTCCCTTCTTTCAAAAAACTATCCTAACGCCTAGCAGCATTTTCTAAATGTAATATATTCTACTGTATCTAATCCTTTGTTATTTTAATAGTCATTTATCATAGTAAAATTATATGTAGAAATCATTACTTAACCAGGAAAATCACATGTTTAAAGTAAAAATAAAACATGACCATTCATAACTGCCTACAAGTATCACATATACTTTGGAAAACAGGTGAGAGAAACAGCACTGAAAACATCAGAAAGACAAAAAAACATCAGAAAGACAAAAAAAAAAAAAATATAAAACAGAGGGTAACAGAAAAGACAAAGAGAAAGTGTATAGTATTTGTTTAATTGGAGTCCCAGAGGAGAGAAGAGAGAATGGCACAGAAATATTTTAAAAGATAACAGCTGAGAATTTTTCAGTGCCAATAAAACATTAGGTTCAAGAAGCCTAATAAATCTCAAGCAAGATAATTTTAAAAAAAGAAAAATGAGGGCCTCCCTGGTGGCGCAGCGGTTGAGCGCTGGGCTGCCGGGCTGCCCGCAGCCTCTGCAGTGCCGGTTCGATCCCCGGTCACTGGGTGAGGATCCCACATGGCGCTCAGACCTCTCCAGCTGCCCGCCCTGACTGTACCCAGTGCTTGTATAAATAAATAAATAAACCTCAAAAAAAAAAAAAAAAAAAAAAAAGACACTAAGACATACATCACAAACTCTGGAAAACCAGTGAGAAAATCTTAAGAGCAACCAGAGGAAAAAAGATTACCTTCAAAGCAACCAATTAAATAGTAGATTTAAATACAAATATATAAAATTACACATAAGAATGAGATATCCCAATAAAATACAGAGACTGTCATAACATATTTTTAAAGTTACTTCTATTTTTAAGATATGGAAAATAAGTGACTACAAAAAAGGTTCAAAGTAAAACAACAGGAAAAACTATATAACACTACACGAAAGTTATACAAAACTAACTGTAATACTGACATCAGTACATTATATAGTACCGAAAAAGGGAAGACATAAGTAGAATTTGGATAGCTGGAAGAAAGAAAACAATATTCCTGGTTAGGCAGGATAGAGTGGAGCAGAAGACTATGATTAAAATATGAAGGTCTTTGAAAGTCAGAAATTTAAACTTGTAAGAATAGGACACTGCCAAAATAGCTTAATCCACCCATTTATACAAGCAACACAGAAAAGGTAGAATAAATAAGATTACTATTATAATGTTATATAGTACGACCTGAAAGAAAGCGAGAAGACCTAGAAACAGCAAAAGACTAGTTTGGAGAATGCTATAGCAATCCAGGTAAAGACAAGGGCTTGGCAGCAAGAGAGGTAAAAGAGATGTATCTAAAGAGTCATTTCAAGAGAAAGATTCATCTGCATTAGTTGTCCTATGAAATTTTAAAGGTAAAAAAATGTAGTATACCTTACAAAATAATAATCACACTATTTTTGTTTACCCCATTGTAATTAAGCTGTATTAAGGTATAGTTGCCCAATCAACTGAATAAACATTTTATTGAACAATTTATGTGTTAGAAATAAAATAACAATGAGGTAATTATCCTGTATCATGTATAATATACACAATCCATTACATATTATTATGACTTCTTCATTACGATTACCAATGAGGAAAAAGTCTGATCACTTTTCCTCCTTGAATATTAATGGATATATAAGAAATTTTTCAATTTCACAGTAACAAAAAAACCCTGTATTTTTGAAAGCTGTTTACCAAGAAGTTTTCTACTTCTATAATGAATTCAAACAACTCACCGATGCTGGGTGGGCTACCATAGTTAATTGGTGACTCGGGTGGTCTTCCACAGTGCAATGCAGCCAATGCAGATCCTTTCCACACAACATGTTTGCAGCCTATTAAACACACATATTTTATAGATACAAAAATACAGCAAAGAGAAAAAAATGAGGGAAAAAAAGGTCTCAATTAGATTATGAAATTTTCATACTTTTATTTGTGCGTAACAAGGACTGTCTTCCAGCTCCCAATAAAGTTTGTACTCCAGGAACACTCTGTGGAATTTCTTGTTCAAGAAGAGGTCCTAGTCGATGACATATTTGCAGCAAGTGATCAGGTGCTAAATGTCTGTAATATTTCACCTATTATATAAAAGACGTAAAATATTTGCTAAGTGATACAATTTTTTATAGTAAATAAAATACAATTTTTAAAACAGAGTAATTTGTTCTGACTTGACAACATTTCTTACTGGAGGAAAAAGCTCACATTTATTCTGTGAAACCACTTGACTCAGAATAAAATAGCTACCTGAACCATCACATACTCTGCTGAATAGGAAAAATATTAAACAATTAATGTAATCTGAATATAAAAATTTGTAAATTAACAAAAGCTAGTCAATGCAAACACTAAACAATGAAGAAATATAAAGCATTAGAACCTAAAAGTCTGCTTCAGCTTAACATTTTAATTTACAAAAACTTCAACATAAAATATATACATACACAAAATACTTTGATATATAACAAATATTTTAAACCTTTGATATGATACCTCCAGAATTAAGGATTAAAGAAACTCAAAAGTTCATTTTCTCATTACAAATTTAAAAGTACTTATACAATACCTACGTTGAATTTTATAATTTAGTTAACAAAACCAGAAAGGTCAAATTCCAACTGTTGACTTAAACAAATATTAACTATAAATCAACCTACTCCAAAGTTTCAGCATTTTTGAAAACTATTTCAAAAAACAGTCTAATTTATGCCAGCATCTGAAATCAAGATATAAAATGCTTATACTTTTATTGTCTATTCTGGAGTCTTTTAGTAAATAAACATTTGCATAATATTTTCAAGAGAATTACAGAAAATGAGACATACTTTTTATGACTTTCTATTTAAGTTATCAAATTACAAAAAACTGTCTCGCTGTAGTACCAAACACTCTAGTTCAACTGTTCTCAAAGTACTGAGTAGCACTGAGGGTCCCGCAGGAAAAAGTTATGAATGACACTAAAACATCATTTGCCCTTTCAATCTCATTTTCACATGAGTGTACAGTGTTTCCAGCTGCCATATGACATATGAAGTCACAACAGAATGAACACAGAATCAGATGCAAGATCTAACTCTTATATGAAGCCAAACATAAAGATTCACAAAGATGGACAATGCTAATCTTATTACAAATTTCTTTTAGGGATTAACTGTTATAGAAATATTACTTATATTAACATGAAGTACATTTATGGTACTATTTGATGAATTAAATATTTTCAAATTTGTTGATTTTTAAAGTGTCAACTATGAAGAGATTACATTCTATATAAAATGAACTGCAATAATTTTTATTAGTATAGAGGGGTTTTGAAGCTAAAAGTTTGAGAGATGCTACTCAAGATCACTTAGTAATAGCAATTCTTAGTCTGATTTCCTTATTAAAAGACTTATGTGGGGGAAGTAAGGGGTTAAATCATTTCATTCCATCTTGCAGTATCTGTTATACTTTTAACTGTAGGCGATCATAAATAATATTTTTTAAAAGTTGACAAATATGTCCTTCTAAGTGAACATCTTAATCATAATAAGACTCCAGTCAGAAAAAAAAAAAAAACATGAAGCTGTATTCTCACAGTAAGATAATTTAAAAAGTAAAGTATGGCTTAAAGTAGTATGCCAGATGATCAGTAAGTATTAACAGAATTAATACTTATGGGAAAGAGGTTCAAATACAAATTATACAAGCTACCATCTTCAGTTGAAGATTCACAGCACAGGTAACATTAAAGGCCCGGACAAAAATGATGAAATTAATTTATTTAATTTGGTTTAATGTACAATTTCCCAAACTCACTTAACTACAACACCCTTTTTCCCTAATGATACCATCTTTATTCAAAACATACTTTTCAAAAACTAGTATGATTAGCTACGGAGGAAAAAAAAAAAACCCAACATTTGGCTAGGTAGTGAAATTACACCAAAATACAAATTTTTAGATTATAGTTGTACTTTTCTCTAATCTTCCATTTAAAAAATATACTTAAAGTCTAAAAGAAAACGGTTAGAATATGTCATGGGGGTCCTTTCCAGTCCTTAAGTTCTATATCATTGTTTTAATGTGACTTCTTTAAATTGACCAAAATTCCTTCTTAAAACTTTACCTCAACAGAAAGTTCTTCACTTATTTAACTTTAGTTTCATCATGATCTTGTTATACAGTTTCTTATGAAATATTTTTCAGGTAGTGGACTGAAAATTTTTATTGCAGAATTCTATCTTTTAATAAATTATAATCAACTTTTCCTGACTTAATCTTTGATTTTCAATTTTTCAAACTCAACTTTCATTTTAAAGTTAAAAGAAACACTTTCAATGCTTGAACTCCTCATGCATTCTTTATACAAGCTTATGCTGGTAATGGAAATCTGTCCTTTACCCACCCATCTCCACACCTCATTCTTTCTCACATCTCAAGTCTATGCCTTACTGCCTTTCATTACCTGCTACACCGCCCCTAGCCATCTTTTTGGAAATTTTATTTTTATATTTTCATAGCTTATTAAATTCCTTCCCAAATGTTCCTTTATGCTTAATACAAGTTTTATAGAACTTGTGTTAATTATTCTGAAAATAATTTGATACCTAGATCTCAGTGGAAATCTAATGAAGGCTACAATGCGTCCTATTCTCAAAAAAAAAAAAAAAAAATACACACACAAGTCTTAACAATTATCTTGCCCTGTGTTAGAAGTTCAAAAAAAAACCCCTGAACTATATTAAAATGGCTGATTTACTTGTCCAGGTACTACGTAAAAAGACATAGGATTAGATCTTGTTTACCTGCATATCCAACACATAATGCAGTAATGCTTGCAGCTAAATGCTTAATAAATCAGTAGATAAATGAACATATGAAAATATAAAAAAACTACTGAATTTTCCTTATGTCACCAATAAATAGTGAAGGTTCATTCAAGTCTGGAATCCTAGAGCTGAGTTCCTTTCCAGAACCTTTTCCCATACCATCTCTCTCTGCACAATCTTTATACCAATGCTTCTTAAAGTTATACCAATAGCTATGGATTACATATCAAATTTTCTTAAAGCATATCTCTCTTTGAAGTTCCAAAGCCTTTCAACTCAAAATAGACAAAAATGAACTCATGACCCTCATGTAGACACCACCCCACTCTAAAAAAAGTTCCCTACCTTGGTCAATGACAAACACTATCTAGCCTCAAACCCCAAGCCACATACTTTTTATGCTGTCCAATCCTCCCTCCTACAACAAAGCAGTTTTAATTCCAAACCGATTTTTCTTGCCATCTTTAAAGCCATGTACCAAGCTTCATAACAACGTAAGTTAAAAACATCTTTGTAATAAACCCTCATCTCTCCCACCTTCATTCATGCCTTCTACTTCATTCAGATCTATTCTCTGTGTTCAAATGCTCCTTCTAAAACCTGTTATCTGATCAAGCCATACCTACTTAAAACACTTTGAAACTTTTGTTCTTTGGGAATCCATATCCTTAACATTGTCAACAAGCCCTGAAATGCATGTATGGTTCATTCCTATTTCTCTGCTTCATTCAGCATATACACTCTCCATGCTCTACTTTTCACGTTCAGATATGGTAGACTTCTTCCAAGTTCTTTACCTGACCTTTATCCTGTCAGGCTTTCCCATGTGGTACGCTACCTGCATTTCCCAAAATAATCTCACCCAAACAAATCCTCTAAGTGCTTCAGATCTCCAATGTAACTTCCTTTGTTTACTTTTTTCCCATTCAATCTAAGTGTGTTATCTTGGTTGCACATACTCCGTGACTTTTCATTATCAAAATGGCCATTCTACCAAAAACAACTTACAGAATGACTGCAATTCCAGTAAAAATCTCAATGGCATTCTTCGACAAAATAGAACAAATATTGATGAAATTCACATGGGTCCACCATAAAAACCTCGAATAGCCAAAGCACTCCTGACTAAAAAAAGGAAGAATGGAAGTATTACACACCCAGACTTCAAGCTATACTACAAAACCTAATAATTAAAACAGCATGGTACTGGAACAAAAACGGACACACATACCAAGGGAATCAAATCAAAAACCCAGGCATGCATTCTCTCACCTTCCAGCACTTCTGACTGTACCCAGTGCTTGTATAAATAAATAAATAAATCTTTAAAAATAAATAAATAGATAAATAAATAAGATTAAATGTCCAGCTTAGGGAGCACACATCCCGTGGATTTGGGACATTGTTCTACAGGATGCAGTAGAAAAACTAAACAGGCCACATATGGTGCTGCACTCCAGACAGCTAATCTATGGCAAGGGAGCTGGAACAAGGACAGTCTCTTCAATATACAGTGCTGGGAAAATTGGACTGCGACATGGAAAAGAATGAAACTAGATTACTACCTCACACCATACACAAATATTAACCTGAATGTAAGACCTGAAACCATACAATACATAGAAGAAAACATAGGCAAAACACTCCATGACAAACATCTCAGAAACATCTTTAAAGACTCATTCCCAGAAGTAAAGAAAATGAAGGAAAAGAAATAGTTGGGACTACATCAAACTAAAAAGCTTCTGTACAGCAAAAGAGATATTAACCAAGATGAAGAGACTTCCCACAGACTGGGAGAAAACATATGCACTCCACAAAACTGATAAAGGGGCTGATAGCAAAGATTTACAAAAAGCTTACACAACACAACAAAAACAAACTAAAGCACCCAGTCAAAAAGTGGGCAGAAGAGCTAATAAGACACTTCTCCAAAAAGGAAATGCAGATGGCCAATGGACACATGAAAAAATGTTCAACATCACTTGTAATGGAAATGCAAATCAAAACTACAATGAGGTATCACCTCACACCAGTAAGAATGGCCCACATTAAAAAAAAAAAAAAAAAAGAGGGCCTCCCCGGTGGCGCAGCGGTTGAGCGCTGGGTTGCGAAGCTGCTCGCGGCCTCTGCGGCGCCGGTTCGATCCCCGCTGCTCCCCGGCCACCAGAGGAGGGTCCCACATGGCCGCAGACCTCTCCTGCCGCCCGCTGCTCCCCTCAGCAGTGTACCTCGGTCCTTCTGCCTGCTCTGCTCCCTGCTCTGGC